TCTCTCTCTCTCTCTCTCTCTCTCTCTCTCTCTCTCTCTCTCTCTCTCTCTCCACTTCATGTGAGCACACTTCCTGTGGGCAAATTTCATAGCCACTTCTCAGCAGCGCTTTCTGGAGTGTGCTTATGTCTTTCCCCTCCTGCCTTCCCTCCTTCTCAGACCCCATTACGAGAGTGAGCTGCTCCAACGCCTCTTGAAGCCTCTCTCAAGAAGCAAGGCTGGCAGCGTCCTGCAGCCTCATTGGTATGCCATTCCATATGGAGCTCTGGGCACTCTAAATGACACGTGAATTATGTATGCTGGGGCTGGCATCGAGTTTAGCATGCCCGGAGCAGCATGCATTTGGAAGGGAAGTCATTTTGATTTTGTGATGTATTACACAGCTGAGCACTTAGCAGGAGCTGAGACCGGGCCCGCGTGCTGGTTCTGAGAACACAGTGGGGTGGGCACACTGTGACTGCAGCCTGCTGCTCTGCATGTGAGGTCATGGCACTCAAATCCTCGGCCGGTGAGAAGGCTGCTTTCCTGCTGTTCTTCCCTCTACCGCCCATCTTGAGGACCTAGCCTTTCCTTTTTATCCTTTGATGTGCTGATTATTCCGGTTTTGAGTTGAATGTTAACTAGGTAAGGTTAGCCTCACCTTCTGAACTTCAGGGAACCCAGGTTATGCCAGCTTTCTTCTGGGCTCCCGAAGGCACAAGAATATGGGTCCTGTAGTCCTTCAGCGACGACGCCACTACTGTGCTGTGTGTCTGTGTGTGTGTGTGCGTGCTCATGAGTGCTGGTATATGTGCCATAGCACACATGTGTTGCCCAGCGGACCCCAGGAGGCATCATTCCTCCCCTTCCAGTTCATTTGAGACAGGGTCTCTTGATAGGGGCAGTATGTGCCAGGCTCACTGAGCCACAGGCTTCTGAGGATTCTCCAGACTCCACCTCTGGCCTCACCATAGCAACACCAGGGTTGCAGACACGCGATGCTGAGTCTAGATTTACTTACAGCAAGCACTTTGTACACAAGCCATCCCCTCAATCCCTTTCCTTCTTTGTTTTCAGAGATCCTTCCTATTCCACATGTTTCTTACACCAGCCAGAGAATATCTCCAGCCCCGAGAACCCACTTCACCCTTTTAGTGACATTCTCACAAACACACGTGCCTGGTTTCCCAACTACAGCTGAGCCTTTAAGGAAACTTGGCCATAAGCAGTGTCCCCGGCTAAGGTCAGAGGACACAGGGCCACCTGATAGACTTTGTCAAGGAGCTTACCTGCATCCCTGCTATAAGAACTTTTCCCCTGGGGGCACAGGACTAAGGCAACATTTATACCCTCCTAATACAATCCCAATGACAAACCCAAGTTCAACTCCACCAAAGTTCAACCTAGGGAACCAGTGAATGTATTGAGCTTTCTTAGAGAGTATGGTGGAGAGGTTGCCAACAGGAACATGGGTGACCTAAAGCTGGCACCCTGGAATGTCTTTATGCAGCATGGATGATGACTTCCCCATAACTGTATAGATGAAGCCCCCTCCCCTCATCTTCCCAGTTTATGCAACCTAGCCCCTCCCCGAGACCTTGAGGTCACGTGAAATTTGGGCATAATTGTCTACAACTGATTAGGAGGAGTCACCGAATACTCAGGTGAGACTGCGATGACTGTCTATGCTTCCTTCTGTGAGGTAATGTCAGTAGTCAACAAATCCAGCTGGGATGACCTTCTGCCAACGCAGCTGGTTTTTTGAAGATGGCTGTTATTTTGCTCAGAGGATTGTGCTGCACACCACCACAGCACACAGTGTGGCTCTAAGACTGGCACCCATGCTTCTGCTCCCTGAGGGCTCTGCATTTGAGATCCTGGGCATTTGCTCCAACTCCAGTGTTTCCCCCTGCCCCGATGACTCTGCAACCAAGACAAATCTATGCGTGAGAAGAACTGGGACTCATTGCTTCCCAGGTGCTCAGGGAAGCTCCTCTTTGATCAACAGCATCGTCTAGCTACAGCAGGAGCCCAGTTATTCGGGATCATGAGAAGAGAGAGGTGCAGGGATTGGCAACAGCGCAGGCTTGTGGGACCTGGAGCCTCTGTGCAGGGCTTTAAGTTATTGGCTGTGCAGTACACAGCCTAAACTACCGCTGTCTCAGCTGGAGTCGCTTCCACAAGTTCATCTGACAAGTTGTCAGTCTTTCCCTAGGAGACAGGTTCCTCCTCTGGCTGTCTCCAGGACTTCAACCATTTCTTTTCCCAGTAGGAGACTCTTGTGGAAATTCGAATTTCTTGGGGTCCACTCTTTCCATAGTCTGAGAGCCAAAGAGCAGTGCACAAATGTCTCTTGGGAACATATTCACTCCTGTCAGACGGGTCACTTACACAGGTAGGGCTGCCAGGGCCCAGGCTCCTTGGCGGCTGCAGTGATGGGGTGGGGACCAAGCTGCTTGGCTTTACCACTGCTTCGTAAAACCTTAGAGCAGCCTCAACCTGCAGGGCCTCACCTTCCTACATCTCACTACGTACCAAAATAAACAGACCCGCAGAGAGACAACTTTGGGGTGGGGTGGGGGGGTGATTCTCCTCTTGTCACTCAGGTCCCCGCCGTTTCCAGGCTTCATCTCTCACCATCTTTGCTCCCACAGGCTCCCACACCAGCAAGCCTCAGCGCAGCAGCAAAAGCTCCTCTTATGAGTGTGCACAGCCTCTGTCAATCATCCTGCTGGAAGGCACTGGCTGACATTGTGAGATCAGGTGAGTTTCCAATAACTTCATGAAAATGTAGGGGAACATCTCAGAGCTTCTCATTGAACACCCACCTAGTTGCCGTTCTCACAGGCCTCTGTCCAGCCAAGTCCTTCCTGATCCCTGGATGGGGCTTGTTTATTACAGCCTGGCCACGCAGTGTCTCACCTAGTAGAAGAAAACTGAGCATGAGCCAGTGTCACAGATGAGTAGACACTCAGCGGTTGTGTGGCAATTCCCACCCGGGGAAAGCTTTTGAGAAGTGGGTGAGTGTGTTAGCGAGCCTCAGCTGTACTGAGGTCCTGGGGCGAGGAGATTCTTTCCTGCCAACAAGGACTGCGTGAAAAGCACGAGATTGCAGAGAGCACAAAGGTGGCCAGAAGAATGTGCTGCTGCTCGCTTCTGTCCTAGTGTTTGGTGGAGACTGCCCTCCTCTTTCCTCCCTGCAGGCTTCAGCAACTTGTGTATGACAGTGTTTATGAGGGGTGTATGTGTGTGTGTGTGTGTGTGTGTGCGCGCGCGCGCGCGCGCGCGTGCATGCGTGCATGTGTGTGTGTGTGGACACTCTAGGAAAAGGATGACAACCAGATGCATAGGTCTCTCTAGAGGTTAAGCCAGCCTCTGGTAAGCAGTGACCCTATTACCATGAGCTCCTTCAGTTCCCCAGGGTCACCTGCTCCTCTTCAAGTTTCCCCTCTGACATCATCACCCCTGGGACATTTGCTCACCTCAACCATCATAGTCCAAGGCTGCAGTCTGGGCTTGCCTATGTACCTCCAGTTTGGATTTCTGTCTGTCCTCCCAAAGCTACATGATAAAGGTTTGGTCCTGAGGGTCATACTCCACAGGAGCCTTCTGGAGATGGGAGGTGTGCCTGTGGAGATGGGTGCACACTCCCAATCTCTTCTTTCTCATTTTTGTTCAGGCCAGAGGTGATTTGCTGTTCCATCACACAGGCCGAATCCCATGATGTCCTGTCCTCCAAGTCCCAAAGCAATAGCCTGTCATTCTGAGCTTGAATTTCCAAACTGTGAACCAAAATAAACATTTTTGCTGGTTTACTTTTTTGTTTGTTTGTTTCATTTTATTTTCAGTTTGGAGACAAGGTCTTATGTAGCTTAGGCTGGCTTCAAACTTTCTAAGCAGCTATGAATTTCTGATCGCCCTCTTGCCACCTGCTAAATGCTAGGATTATAGACATATACCACCACACCCAGTTTGTATGATGCTGGTAATTGAAGCAGGACTCATGAACACTTCCAAGTGACTATCAAACAGACTACATGCCCAGGACGACCAGCTTCCCTTATAAGTTAATTACCTCCTGCGGTTTTGTACTGGCCTCTGGGCCTTCTGTCTCTGTCCTTTATTCTCCCTGATGATAAATTTCCTTCAGCAAACTGTCCTTTCCCTTACTGACTGCATCACTGTGTTGATTCAAAATCGCCCCAAAAGACTTCAAGGTGTGTCCTCTCTCCACCCTGTCCCCTACAGTCATGACTTGGACCCAGTGTCCAGCTTGGACCGGTTGGAAGTTGCTGAGAGCAACTCCACTTTCTGATGGGACCCTATCAGGGACCCTGCAAGCGTCACAGCCAGCAGGGAAAGATCTGTGTGAGGTGAAGAGTGAGTCAGCACCAATTTTGCAGGCACTGGGCCCAAACTGCCGGAGTCTGACCTCCAGAGCTTATTTCTTCTACACATTTAAACACAGTAAAACTCCAGGAAAAGCTTTCCAAGTGACAGTTATCACAACAAAGCTTTAGGCATAATGACATAGAACCCCCTAGCAAAGCAGCAAAGCACCTGCGACCTTCATAATAAGAATGAGTTCTATTGGCTGATAAATAAGTTCAGGCCAAGGGTCTAAAGAGGAAGGATCTGTAATAAGCATAAGGAGAGATTCTGTTGGTGGAGGATGCAAAGTACATGGAACATCTTTAATAAGGGCAGGTTCTATTCACTGAGAGACACAGCTCAGAATTAGGGTCTAAACAATGCCCAGGATTTGGGGGGATTCAGGAAGACTTGCTTGTAAGTTCTGGTCATCCAGCCTCTGGGTGACCAGATGTCAGTTTTTTCTTCCTTTGAAGAAAATAGACCTGTGTGTTAACAAGTCTGGTTCCTCCAGTGCTAACCTTGAGCTGTGCCTCCTACAGGATCCTGAGCAAAGGGCTGTGAGCTGTGCTGCAGGGGTCGAAAGAAGAGGTCATAAGAACAGAGGTGTGTGTGTGTGTGTGTGTGTGTGTGTGTGTGTGTGTGTGTGTGTGTGTCTGCATTCAAGTTCAGAGCTGGCTCAAGTCTTCAAAGTGAGAGACTAGATGTGGAACTCAGGGGCATGATGGGAAGGCCACCCCTCCCCCCAAACCACACAGCATGTGTTCACCACTTGCTTAGCAACAACCTTGGAGATTCAAACTCATTTCTTTTTTTGGTGAAACATGACAATTTAAACATACATTATTTGAAAAAGGAGCATGTGCAAAAATTAGATAAGGACCTAGAATAGAAAGAGATGGAATGCTGTAATTTTTTTCTCTTCCAGGAATCCCTTTTTACATTATAAAAGATCATGGATACATAACAATTTAATTACATATTTGCTATCATAAAGTAGTGCCCATGACTGCTAAACAGGCAGAGTTTAATTGGGTAGAGAGGCTTCAGTAGCTCCTGCTGCTGGCACACGATACGAACGCCCTGCAGCCTGTCAAGCCCTGGCTAGGACCTGCTCCTCTGAATGCTCCTGGAGATGCTTTCAGGCCTCCTCGCGCCTTTGTAGGTTTTTCTCAATTCCTTTTCCTCCCTGAGAAGGTGGGAAGGAGAAGAGGAGAAAGAAGTGCTGTCCTTTTTGCCTCATCATCCTTGCTTAGAAATGTGGGGCAGCAATTCTGAACCCCAATTGCTCATCTCTAAGATGCAGCATTCAATGCTCTCTCTAAGAGGTATTTTTAGGAATAAGTGACTCATCATAACAGTTCTTCCTTCCTTCTTCCATGTACACATTGCCATATTGAGTTGGTCATCTGTCTGACTGTCCCATGCCTATTATTTGGGAACTTTGGTACCAGGGGTTAAGTTGACCATGGGAGGTCAGGTCCCTCTGGACAAGGACCCTTCTGCCTCTTTTTTCTTGGGATGTCCCCACTGTATTTGAAAGCCTGGATCAGGTCATGCCATCCAATCAGCTTCAGTTGGCCAGGGCTCATCAGGCTTTAGCTCATTGTACCTTGTCTCTGTCCCCACCTCTTACACACACAGCCTCACCAATCACATAGCTTGGAGAAGCATCAGTTTTCACTTATGTGATGACCTGAAATGATGGCTCCTTTTCATTGTCAAGCTGACAGCATTTAGAACCACCATAGACTTAAGCCTCTGGGAGTTTCTGGATTAGAATAATGTAATTATGGGTGAGAAGACCCCAGACCTAAATGAGAGCAGTCCCATTCCGTGGAATGGGGTCCTGGACTGAATAAAAGGAGAAAGTGAGCTGAGAACCAGTGTTCACCCCCCCTCTGTCTTTGTCTCTGTCTCTGTCGTTCACCCCCTGTCTCTGTCTCTCTCTGTCTCTGTTTCTCTCTGTCTGTGTTTCTCTCTCTCTGTCTCTCTGTCTCTGTCTCTGTCTCTGTCTCTCTCTGTTGGCTGTAGATGGAATGTAACCTGTGGCTTCGGGTCTCTGCCGCCAGGCCCCCACCCTTGCCGTGAAGGACTACACTTTCAGTATGTGGGCCATCATAAGTCTTTCCTTCCATAGGTTCCTTTTTTAAGGGTTTTTGTCACCACAACAAGGCAAATCACTGAGATAGTTTGCAGAACTGGTCCTACAGTGGTGGCCATTCTCTCACCAGGGTGAATGTGAACCTATCGCTTGAGAGTCTGATAGCCCAGCTACTCCCAGGATGGTCCTGGCTAGATATCCAGTTAGTGGGATAAAGGTGACGGGCAATCCCTTTGTTAGACAGGTTTCTGTCATTGTAACACAATACTGGAGTCAATCAAATTAGAAAGAGGAAGGGTTATTGGCTCACAGCTTCAACCTTTGGCTGCTTGGCTCTGTAGATGTGAGGTCTATGGCAAGATAGTGTCAAGAAGGGGAGCATGTAATTAAACGAAACTCCTCATCCTCATGTCCTGATGGTCAGAAAGCAAAATAAAAAGAAGGGGGGGGGGTGAGGAAGGATCATGGTCCTAGTATTTCTCTGCAGAGATATACACTTTATGACCTAAGTTCCTCCTACTAGGCTCCACCCTCTAACAGGCCTATCACATCCTGATATCACCACAGTCTGGTGACCAAGCCTTTAATACATGGGCCTGCTGGGGGACTTTTCAGATCTAAATTCTCCCTCCCTCACTCATTAATCCATTCATTTATCTGGCACATGCTAAATATTGATAGAGCTTTCACATCAGCCTTGAGAGGTAAGCAATAGTTTGAGGTGAGAAATCTGGTCTAGTGCCATCACATCATCATCACCCATTGGTGTGGCGCTCATGTGTGGTCACTTTAGCTGTCTACAATTCAGGCAGGCTGTGGTTATGCACCCCAGGTGAACCCTGAAAGCTTGCTGTGACTCTTTATTTCTAAGTGGCCAAATGATGGATGCTTTCCAGTAGTTGAACCGGTGGTTTCTTTCTCCTCGTGTTTTACATTTGACAATTTACCTTCCAGAAAATAATTCTTTCATATTTTTCTTGAGAAGCTTGAAGTTCTGTTTTTCCCATTGTACTGGCTAGTTTTATGTCAACTTGGTCCAAGCTAGAGTCATCAGAGAGGAGGGAGCCTTAATTGAAAAAATACCTCCCTAAATTCCAGCTCTAGGGTATTGTCTTAATTGGTGGTTGATGGGGAAGACCCAGTCCATTGTGAGTGCTGCCATCCCTGGGCTGGTGGTCCCAGGTTTCATAAGAACGTAGGGGGAGCAAGCCAGTAAGCAGCACCCCTCCATGGCCTCTGCATCAGCTCCTGCCTCCAGGTTCCTGCCCTGTGTCAGTTCCTGTCCTGACTTCCTTCAGTGATGAACAGTGATACATAAGTATAAGCCAAGTAAATCATTTCTTCCCAACTTGACTTTTGGTCATTGTGTTTTGTCATAGCAATAGTGACCCTAACTAAGACACTCATATAAATTCAGTGCTTCCCAAGTATCCACCCATCTAGGATTTATGACAGTACTAAATCTTCCATGAGGCTTTTATGAATACACAGATCTAATTTTGGTCTTTCTCTTTTGTTTCATTCTTTCTTGCTCTTGAAATCATAAATTGTTTTGATTATTACTGCTGTATAATAAATCTCAAATTTAATATCAAGTATCACTTTTCTATTCTTTTGCAAAAATTGTCTGTTATTATTAGGTCTTTACATTTTCTTAGAAATATTAGAATAGTGTGGAGAAATTTTAGAAAAACATGTTGGGCTTTAAATAATATTTAAAATGAATGTTTAGACTTGTTTTAGGAGAACTGGTGTTCTAAAGTACTGAGTCTGAGGTTTTATATGGTGCTTTCCCCCCCCACATTCGGCAAAGTTTGCTTGCTAAGTTTATCTTTTGTGCTTAGAGGTCTTGCCTGTATTTAATTTGGATTTGTTTTTATGATTTATTTGTTGTTATAAATGGAATCTTCCATTTTGTTGCCCATTCTAATTTGTTGTTGCTAATAAATAAAGACATTAATTTTGTGTGTAATTTTTATCTAGTCATTTTCTCCAATTAGCTATAATTGTACATATAAACATCCTGAATTTTCTAAGCGAGCAACCACAGTGTCTTATTGTTGTCATAATTGACTCACTGTGGCTCCTGGGACTTCCAAATTAAAGAGAATGCTTTTAAGTCACTGTTAGTTAAAGTGTCTTTGATAGAAATTCTTTATCAATTTAAAAGTTTTCTATTTTCAACTGCAGTCATGGGGTTTGGTTTTCATTTGCTTGATTTGTATTGTGGTACTGGGGATTGAACCCAGGGCAAACACCCCACCACTGAGCTACATCCAATCACATTTTGTACCTAATGAAAAGACTATTGGTAAGTTTCCTAGGATCACCTTGGACTCACTTAAGAAGTGCAACCTGTACTTAAATTTATGATCCTCCTGCCTCATCCCCTCAAGTTTCTGGGATCACAGGCCAGTGCCACCAGTGGTGTTGGTTGTTTGACACAGTGTCTCAATCTGGCCTCAAGCTCCTCACCTTTCTGCTTTATCTCCTCAGGTGCTGTGATCTGAGGTGGGGGTCCCCATGCCAGTTCACAGCTGTATATTTGTATGCCAACACCAATGGGAATGACTGTATGTTCCACCCTGCTTTACAAGTTTATCAAATTAAGTTACCAGCTCTGCTGTTCTGGGGGAAGGATTCTTTGGATTTTCTGTATTTTATATGCCAAAAGAGACAGTTTCACAGTTGTTCTACTTACAGTTTGAACATCTTATTGTAGTTCCTTGGTCTTCAATTTATTTATTGTCTTCCAGCCTTATTCTTGCAGTATTTTCTTCAGAGAAGTTCCTCTCTTTTTTAATATGGATGTCTTCATGGTGCACACATGTATGGATGCAAGTGTGTGAGGGTATGTGTGTGTAGGCCCCAGGTTGGTATTAGTGTCTTCCTTTTCAATTTATTTTTCATTTTATTATTTAGTGTTTATGGATTTTTGCCTGCATGTTGTGCACCTTGTGAATGCAGTGTCCTCAGAGGCCAGAAGAAGATGTCAGATCCTTCAGGGCTGGAATTACAGACAGTTGTGAGCTGTCATACGGGTGCTGGAGATTGAACTCAGGTCCTTTGGAAGAGCAGCCAATGCTCATAACTGCTGAGCCAGCTCTCCAGGACATACCAGTGCCTTCTCTGATCATTCTTTACTTTGTATATCAGGAAAGAGTCTCTCATTGAGCCTGAAGCTTACTGACTTGGCTAGACTAGCTAATGCAATTGTCCCATGTCTACCTGCGGCGCGCTCCTCGGCCAGCGAGGAAGAACGACCACCACTCTGGATTCTCCTCAGATCACACTTTATTGGAGCGCCTCTTGATTAAGGGAGAGCGGGAGGTGAGGGGCCCCGAGGACTAAAATGCCGCTGCTTATAAAGGGAATTAGGCAAACGTGCCGTACTGTGATTGGGTCCCGCCAGAATGCAAGCACGGGAAGCCACGGGATAGGCTGAGGACATAAGGTTGATTACCATACCCGTGCATGCGCAGGTCACAGGACACATAGTCCTGAGAGCATAGCCAAATATGGAGTTGTTTACAGCTAGGCTACCGGGAAGCCAGCGCCATCTTTGAATGGCGGCTCCCTACATCTACCCACTGTGTGCTGGGATAACAAGCAGGCATCATACCAACCTTGCTTTTATGTGGCTTCAGAGGATCCAAACTGCAGTCCCCATGCTTGACGGTAAATGCTTGAGGCACCAGACAGTATCCTTAGTCCTAGAAGTCCCTTTCCAAGGTGGAAAATTTTTCATCTATTCCTATTATTGTGCTGTTTATTTTTCTTTTTTAAACAGAAGTTGATCTTATCGAATGATGTATGGTGTATGGAGATGCTCATGGGTTTTATACTTTTGAGTCTATCATTGTGGTGTATAACATTGACTCTAAATGGCAAATCCATCGTGTTTGGGGTGATAAATCCCAACCAGTCAGTTGGTAGTATCATTCTGAGAGTTTTAATGCTACATGTAGGGGGGGGGGGCGGATATCAGAATTCTAGTTGTTTTTTGCTGTTAGAATGCTAAGTAAACTCACAGAATGCATTGAGATGTCAGTGAGGTGGTTCCACAAGGAAAGTTGCTTGAGGCCAAGTCTGAAGACCTGAATCTGATCACTAGGCCCACCTGGGGAAAGGAGAGAACCAACTTCTGCAAGTTGTTCTTTGACATGCCATGTCATGCTCGCTCTCTCTCTCTCTCTCTCTCTCTGTTTCTGTCTCTGTCTCTATGTCTCTCTCTTTTTTTTCTCTCTCTCTCTCACACACACATACATTTGCACATGCGCACACACACTAAATAATTTAATTAATGCAAAAGGCTATAAATTAATCAACGAGAAGAGGCTCTATTTCCATCTCTATTTTGGAGGAATTTGGGAAGGATTAGTACTAATTCTTCTGTAAACATTTGGTGAACTTGTGACACTAAGTGCATGAAAACTGGGTGTTCCTTTGTAAAACTGAACACAACAGAATGAAACACCAGTTTGTTGTAGCTCTACCTGGATTTTCAGTATCCTTGAATCAGTTTGGTGTCTATGGTTCCTTCTATCTTGACAGTTCAGCGGCTTGTTGTTACCTCTGTCTCTTGTTTCTGTCATCCTGGCAGTGATGTCGCCTCCTTTGTCCCTGATTTCAGTAATTGTACCCCTTCACACACACACACACACACACACACACACACACACACACACACACACACACACACACTTCCTTTTGTCCAGCCTAGTTAAAGCTTTGTCAGCATGTTGATTTTGTCAAAGACCCACTCTGTGGTCTAGCCACCCTTATTATTTTCTAATTCTATTTTGTTTCTTTGGTTTTTACTCTACTATTATTATTTTATTCTTTTACCAGTCTTTGGTTATTTTGCTCTTCGGTTTTGGTTTCTTAATGTAGAAGTCAGTTGTTGACTGAGAAGCTTTCGTTTCTTCATTTCTGAGGGATGTTTTCTAAAATGTTGTCTCTCATTACAGTGTGTGTGAGTGTGTGTCTGTGCATGTGTGTGCACGCTTAAGCAAGGGATTGAATGTATGTGAATATGTGGGTGCCATTGGATAATGTTTGGGAAATGATTCTCTCCTTCTACTTTATTTTTTCGGTTTTTCAAGACAGGGTTTCTCTGTGTAGTTTTGGTGCCTGTCCTGTCTTTCTATTTTTATGTGGGTTCAAAGGATGGAACTCTGGTTATCAGGCTTACTGACAAGATATGCCTTTTTATGAACCCTCTGGAAGATATTTTTATTTATTATTAGCATGCATGTACATGCTGTGTATAGTAGGTATGAGGTTATTATGGCATGTATGTAGAGGTCAGAACAACTTGCAGGCATTGATACTCTGTCTACCATGTGAATCCCTGGGATCAAATTTGACTTCAGGTGCCCTTATCTACTGGCCCATCTCACTGGCCTTCTGCAGGACACACATAAGGCCACTGTATTTGTCAGGGTTCTCTAGGGGAATTCAGAGAATGGAACCAATAGGATGAATATGCACACACATACACATATGCATGCATATATGCATATATATTCATATGTATTCAGCATTCTTAATGTTCTATTGTTGTGAAGAGACACCATGACCATGTGAACTCTTATGAAAGAAAGCGTTTAATGGGCTTGCTTACAGTTTCAGGGGCTTTTTCCGTTATCATGATGGGGAGCATAAAGGCACATAGGCACACATGGTGCTGGAGAAGTAGCCGGGACTTCTACATCCAGATCCACAGGCAGCAGGAAGAGAGAGACACTGGGCCTGACTTGGGCTTTTGAAACCTCAAAGACCACCCCAAGAGACATACTTCCTCCAATAAGATCACACTTATTTCAACAAGGCCACACCTCCTAATCCTTTTTAAGAATGCTGTTCCCTAATAACAAAGCATTCAGATGTATGAGACTATGGGGGCTATTTTCATTCAAACCCTGCTATATAGGGGATTTATTAAATCAGCTATATTATAATAGTAACCATAGTTGTCTCACACTGAAAGATTGAGAACCTGGTGGTTGTTCAGTCCTAGAGGCTGGGTGCTTCAGTAGTCGGGGTAGTTCCACAATGGCTGTTTCACAATGGAGAGCCCAAAAACTTCTCATTTGCTTGGTCCATAAGGCTAGGTGCCCCAGGACTCCCAACTGGTGCTGAAAACCTGGAGGATTTCTAGAGAGATATTGGTCTTTCATCAACAAAGGAAGCCTGGAAAGCTGATTTTGATGTCAGCAAAGAAATCAGCAGCAGCAGCAGCAGAAGCAGGTAAGTCAAATTGGTAGCCAGAGGAAGGCCAAGCAGGCAAAAGCTGAATCTTCTTCCTGCCAGTCCTCTTTGTCATACCCTTTTGGGTCTAGCCTGCTACCAGCAGGTGCTGCTCAAACTGGGGAAGAGTCTTCCCACATGAACTAAGCAATCAGTACAGTTCCTCTGGGAGGGCTCTCTTGGGGACCTTTGTTTAAACTGCATGAAGATGTGTCTATGTTTTGCCTCACCTGCCTAAGGCACCTGATTGGTTTAATAAAGAACCGAATGGCCAATAGCTAGGCAAGAGAGAGTAAGTGGGACTTCCGGGCAGAGAGAGGAACTCAGGGTTAGAATCTAGGTGCACACGATTAAGCCAGTGAGACATGGAGGGAGTCAGACATACATTATGGGGGATAGGTAACAAGCCATGTGGCAGAATATAGATCAATAGAAACAGGTTAATTTGAGTTATAAGAGCTAGTTGTGAATAAGCTTAAACTAAAAGCCAAACTTGCATAATTAATGTCATTATTTGAGGCTGGCAGTCCCAAAGAAAATCAGACAAGAAAGTACAACTACACTCCCTTCTAGGGTGATTCTAATTTGTGGTAGATTGACATGAAACTCAAGCACCACAGCTACAGACTACCCCAGAACACAGCTCTTTGTCATGAGTATTTGGCAAGTGTTCTTCCACTTCCTTCTGGTCTCCATGGCTTCCAATAAGGGATCCTCTGTCATCATATGTTCATGTTCTCATAATTCAATATGGCCCTTGTGCGTGTCTGCGCTCATGATTCTATTCTTTAGTGTTCAGAAGTTTAATGTGTGGGTCTTGATTTGTGCATCCAATTTGGAATTTCCCAAGGATGGCTATGAGGAAGGTTTCCATATAGGAAAGGGCACCTATGGTTTGGAAGTCCCACTGGTACCAAAGGAAGGTTTGCCCAAATGTGATTCAGAAGGGGGGGGGGAAGGGTTGACCTAAAAATGTTAGTAACAAGACATTGGGACATGGAGTTAGAGTCTTCATTTCATTGCAGGTGTGTTTTATGACTTTGAACATGGTCTACCTTGAGATGTGAGCTTTGGAAGAGTGAAAGTTGGTGTCAGAATAGTCTGAGTTTTTATTTGTTTGCTATTTTGAGATGAAGTCTCTCACAGCCCAGATTGGCCTCAAACTGGATAAGGCCAAGTGTGACTCTAAGTTTCTAAATCTCCTGTCTCCACCTTCAAGGTGGCTGGGATTCCATGCTTGTGGTTCGCCACCTTGATTCTGAAAGCCCTGGACATCAAACTCAGAGCCTCTGGCATGCTGCATTAATTTTTTTCTTTTTACAAATATTATTGAATGTCTTTCCCTATTCTACTGCCTTTAACCTTATGGTCATTATATTTAAAGTGTATTTCTTACAGATAACTGTGTTAGTTAGATTTTTGTCAACTTAACACAAGCTGGCACTACCTAGGAAGAGGGAACCTCAATAGAGAAATTGCTTCCATCAGATTGCCCATAAGAATGCATTTGTTTGGTTAATGATTGATGTGGGAGGGCCCAGCCCTCTGTAAGCAGTGAGACCCTTGGGCAGGCGGTTGTGGGTTGAACAAAGCAGGTTGAGGAAGCCTTGGGGAGGAACCTAGTAAGCAGCGCTCTTCCGTGGTACCCACTTGAGTTCCCTCAATGATAGACTATAGGTCAGATAAACTTTCCTCCCCAAGTTGATCTGGTCAGTGTTTTATCCCAGTGACAGAAAGGAAATGAGGATGATATATCAATTGATGAATTTTTTTTCTGATAGTGTCTATCAATTTGTGTATTTACATCATTCATAGTTAAATTACCTATTAATACATTTGCATTAATACATCCCATTTATAACTATTTTTCTATTGATTGTAATTTTCCTACCTTTACTTTCCCCTTAGTCTTAAGTGTCCTATAATTTTATTTTCCCCACATATATCACTTATAACCCTTTGAAATTGTAGTGTTGAAGTGGTTGCCTTAGAATCTACAACACAGTTGTTTTATGAGTAATTTGTCAACGATGAGGTTATTCCTAAATGTCTTCTGGTGTCTCTTACAGCCCTGTTCTCACTCATTGTATTTTTCCATATGCAAAGATATAGGTTGAATGTTGTTTCCCCCCAAATGATATATGATTCTTAACTCTCACTGCCTCTTAATAGAATCTTATTTAGAAGTGGGGTAGTTATGCTTCCAGGGCTTTTTAGGAAACTCCTAACTGATTTTCACAATGACTGTTGTACTAGCTTGCTTTCTGCCGTGATAGACACCATGACCAAATCCTTTCCCACTTCCTCTGCAGCATCTGTTGTCAGATTTCTTTATGATTGCCATTCTGACCGAGGCAAGGTGAAAGCTCAAAGTAGTTACAAATTCTGTTTTCCTGGTGACTAATGATGCTGAATACTTATAAAAACTATTTACTGGCCACTTGTGCTTATCTGTTTAGAACTGCCCATTAGTTTCATTAAGCTGTTTGTGAATTGGTAGTTTGGGAGGCTTTTTCTGCTCAAAATTTACAGTTCTTTGTGAGTTTCTGATATTACTCCTCTGTCTCAGATAGAGCTAGTAAGGATTTTCTCCCATTCAGTGGGTTGTGTGTTGCATCATGTGTTGCTGGGGTAAGGAAAATGAATATATATACAAAATATAACATATTTTGTTTCAAAAGGCTGTGGTGACGTCAAATACCTTGTATGGTAATTTAATTTTTTTAAAAGAAAAGGATGTGTTTTTTTTTTGTTTTGTTTTGTTTTGTTTTGTTTTTTTAGACAAGGCATATAGAAGAGAACTGGGCCTCTAACATGTCAGAACTAATACCCCCATAAGAATAAGACAGTGTGAATACAGAGATACCCAGGAACTGGCTGATGGTAGGGATGGCCAAAAGATGGTGAGTGGTGAGGAAGACTGGCAGGTGATATTTTATTTGGGCTGAAATGTGGTGATATTTTATTTGTGCTTTAATAAATAAAGTTGGCCTGGAGACTAGCAGAAATAGCAAGCCATTTTAAATAAACAAAGAAGTCAGGCAGTGGTAGCACATGCAATCCTATCACATAGCAGGCAGGATCTCTGTGAGTTCAAGGCCACACTAGAGAACAGAGCCAAGCATAGTGACACATGCCTTTAATCCCAGTACCAACCATAGAGTTCTGGAGGCCTACACAGACAGGAAGTGACAGAGTTGGCCAGGAAGAGGAAGTGATGTAGGTAGATACAGAGCAAATCAGATGGCATAACAGCAAGGCATATAAGCCTGGGTAGACAGGAAGTCGCTCTTTTTGGAAGATGCAGAGTTGGTGAGGTGAGGTTATGCTGTGGGATGGTCGGCATGTCAAATGTGTTGCTCTGATTGGTCAATAAATAAAACACTGATTGTCCAGTGGCCAGGCAGGAAGTATAGGCAGGACTAACAGAGAGGAGAATTGAGAGAACAGGAAGGTGGAGGGAGTCACTGCCAGACATCACCATGACAAGCAGCATGTGAAGATGCTGGTAAGGCATGAGCCACGTGGCAAGGTATAGATTTATGGAAATGGATTAATTTAAGCTGTAAGAACTAGATAGATAGAAGCCTGAGCCATTAGTCCAAACAGTTTAAATAATATAAGTGTCTGTGTGTTTATTTTATAAGTGGGCTCTGGGACTGGCGAGACTTGGCAGGAGCTGGAGAGAATTCTCCAGCTACAAGGTTAGCTGGTGGTTTGTCCTATTCCTCTGATCTTTCTCTCAGGCTTTAACCCAAATTTCTGGCTCCATGTTTCTTATTTATTAAGACCATTTAGAAATTTATCTACAGGTTATCCATAACTATTATACCTAACCATCGTCAGGGTCAATGGGAGTAGGAGTAGGAATCCAGAAAAAACAAGCTATTTTAGTCCTAGAATGCTGGCTATGAGGGTACCAGAAACTGCTGGAATTTTTCAAAATGATGCGGCTATGGCAGCATTGTTGACTTTTATTTTTGTTTTATAGCTTAATGGTGTGTGGGGGGTGGGGGGTGCAGTGTGTGCATTATTCTTGTCATCTTTTTTTCTGCTGGATGAGGTCAGAGTCCTTATTGTGGGCATCTTGGGACAGTTGCTGGTATTAGAAATTTTGAACGAGGAGGATGTTGTGAGGGAGTTGTCCTTCCTCTGTGTCCACTGAGCCTGCTAATATCTGTCTAGGGATCTAGCATTCTCCCCATAAGAGCTGAGACCCTACAATCATTTAGGAGTTGGATGTAGAGTCTGGTCAACTGCCTCTGGCTGACATTGGCAGTGTAGAGGGATTTAGGGTTCCACTCCTGTGGACTTTCAGACATTGGACAGTAATCAAGAGGATGCTCTGTGTTGATTCCCTCTTGTAGAGTGGTCATTGGTTAGAGTCCAACCTGTGGATTGAATAAGAGGACAGGCGATTTATAAGAGCTAGTCTCATGATTACCTAGGACCTACTTGGCTTTGAAGGTCAAGGGGTGAAATATTGCCCCTTTAATCCCTCTGTCCTCATTAGTATAGGCCTCCATGTATGATTACTGAACACCCATAAGGCCAATTACACCAGTCTGATAGTTTAACTACTGTGTGATATTTAGATAAAGCTTGAACATAAATCAAACACTAAGTAGACAAATATTTTGTTCTTTTAAGTTAGTACTTGTGTTAACAAGAGCAGATCAAAAGCTTAAGATAACTATTAATTTAGAGGCTTGATTCATGTCATATCTTTATCATCACTAAGTCTCATCTAATTTATGTAGACCTCTCACAATTTCCCTAGACTTTCTAGCTCTCCTTCCCATTCTGGAAAAACATCCAGCCATCTTAAGACAAAGTCCTAAAATGTTTTATCTTTATTTATTTTATTATGTGTATGAGTGTTATATGCATGGATACAGGTACACCATGTTCATGTCTGATACTTTCACATGTTAAAGAAGGCATAATACCCTGGGGCTGGAGTTACCAATAGTTGTGAGACACCATAAAAGTGCTGGGAA